GGGAAGATAATGGAGCAGAAAGAAATTCACCGTATAACCCAAATAGAAGAGTCAAAACCCCAATATTATATCTTTCGATCGAATGGAAGGCCTTTAGAATTCATGTTTCCACATTAGGCACCATTTCTTCCCAGAACGACTGGATTTCCGGATACCTTTGCCTGATTTCGTCCTATGTTTTCTTGAACAGGATCATCCCCCCAAACTCCTTATCGTAGACTGTGAAGTAGATAGGATTAGTCTCGATTGTGGCGAGTCTCGAACTGGTTCACTTACTCCATATAGCTGCCTTCAGCCATTGCATCGCCCTCCAATCTATGCCCATTCTCTTGAAGCACTGACTGATGTCCAGGCATATGTATACCGCAGTGGGTATTAAATAAGGAACTTGATCCGTAGAGATAGGTAACCCTTCGCCTTCAGTTTCTTTTCTAGATGGCTCGGGAGCCATGCTTTTATCTGTGACTAGAGCACCTATCGCTTCCAATGCAGCCATTCCCGACTGAACGATCTCCGGACATTGTGAATGATTCCTACTTCTATCCTGTACGATCTTCAGGATTTGAGCGAGCCGACCATGCGCGCGGAAAGCTTCCCATCGAAGGTTGGGGTAATTGTCAGGATAGCTTGCATCGATTTGTTGCACTTTCTCCTTGAAATCCTTGAGGAGTCCACTTGAGCTAGTGAGCAGCCCGTTCAGTAGCTCTTGCCTCTTCTGAGTCTGAGCAGGAGGGGTACCACGATCGCAGAGACACAGTCGACAGTCGCACCCATCGAACCATTTCTTGAGGCGGTCGGTACGTTGGTTCAAGTTTCCGGCGAAGCCTCCATAGCTAAGGAATACTTCTTCTCCCTCTTTGATTGCACGTAGCGCGCGAATGGCCAAATACTGGGGGAGAGCAGCATATCCTGCATTCGGAACACAAGAGTGATTGAAATAGGATGGGAAGATGTGGAGGCAAGACATTCCATCTTCTTTGTCGAAATAAATTGCATCCTTGGGGCCGATCGGATGATTGAACCCGTTTTGAGCACAAATGGCTTTGATTCGTCCGGGATCCAGATCGACTAGGACGTTCAGAGAGTCATCGCTCAAGTCTCTTTTCTCCGAGTCTGGAACACCGTCTGGCAAAGCAGGGTACCGCTCTCCCCCATACAGTGCATATACCTCATCCGCTAGTTCTGGGTTCATACTGATCCTTTCCATCGCCCTTTGGAACATAGAATACGTTTGAGGCGTGTCAACTGCACCGTTTGGGAGGTTTAGGTGAAAAATAGGCTCCGGATTGAGGAGTTCAAAAGGAAGAGCGGAGATAACCGCTTTAGAAAAGACCTAATATGAGTACTTGTGTCAGTTCTAGTCCTTAAATTCTATTGGGTACCATGCTTACGAGTAGCTCTCCAGGAGCGATATCCCTCGTTGCGACAACACCTCGACCACCACCTCGATG